TCACGTATCCTCGAACTCCCCACAGCCCTGATCTCCTCCTGAAGTGACGACAAACAGAACAGCAATGCCGCTTACGTAGTCCTCTCAATAGAACACGTGGCAACAGCCACGTCAGCCAAATGATACACGAGGCAGCAGCCACATCAGCGAACACGCATGGCAGCTGCCACGTCAGCAAGCCAGAAAGACAGGAGCAAGCCGGCCACCATGCCGGACTAGCAGCTCCTTGCCAAGTCACAATGCCAGCAGCGTTGAGCCAGCGTCGCAGCGTCAAGCCAACGTCGAAGTCAATGCGTGAAGTCAGCATCAACGCAAGACAAAATGAATGTCAAAGCCAGGAAGTCAACTCTTATGTAGTGTTGACGCGGGGTCTGGACCCCGGATGCTGTATCCCTCGGCCGTCCAGATCTGACTGCGAATGAGGGCCCAGATCGGTCTGAAACCGAATTCCCTCCTGCCTGGATGCTGTCTGGGTACCTGCGCACAACAAGTGAGTGTATCCAACCCAGGGCCTGGGTGCGGTGCCTTTGACTCTACAGTTGACTTTGACTCTTGAATTTCCTGAGTGCAGCGTTCAGTCACGCAGCCACACTCGACAGACTCAGGCCTGGGCGTGTCTTGGTCACACAGCCCAGCGCAAACCTTCTCAGGTCTGCGTGGCCTGGGGCTGAGTTCTGGGCCCCAGGCTACTTCTGAACAGGGTTATTTCAGATAATAATGTTGGAAACAATATCTTCAAGTGTGAATTGTATCTTGACCTGGTTTCTCACGTGTGAACTCCCATGTGGATGTTCGTTGATGTATGCAAGTTGAACTTGGCGAGTACTTGGTTCATTTCAGTATGTACGTACACATTTTTTTTTGTTTTTTCCCCCCCGCAAAATACGGAATATCTGAAAAGGCATCTGGAAAGGGGATCCGGACCAGTCCGGATCTTCCTGAGAATTCTGATGTTCTGGAAGTCTGCAACGGCCCAAAAGGTCCAGGGTCCAGATTCGGTCCGGGGTCCGGATTCGGTCCGGGGTTAGGTTCGGTGTAGCTATGTTTTTTTTCTTTTTCACAGTTTGTGTTTTTTATTTTTTAAAATACCAAAAATGAAGTGCAAGGAAAATGAGCAATACGAAATGACAGATTTCAGATTGCAGAATCACATTTTTGAAGGCCAGGAAGTCCCACACTGTTCACAAAGCAGAATTGCACCAATATTACACCAGTGGAGAAGCAAAACACTGAATCCGAGTGTCAATGAAAGCGTACTCTTGCCATCACCAACATAAGCATCCAGAGCCCTTCCCTCTACTTGGCGCTCAGCGCCTAGATTACTATCCCACAGCTGCTTCTAGCCTACTATTTGACAATGCAACTGTTGATGTCAGCAGCAGCACCGAAGTACATGAAGATGTTGCCCCTTGCAGACTATCGCCAAGACCAGGTATGTGCCCTCATGTCATCGTCCTCATGTCTCTTTCTCTCTCTCTCCCTTGTCTCTCACCCACGTCTTCTACCACCACTACACCTTGCTGTACAACCATGCACCAGCCGGCTATGGAGGCTGGGCTATGGCGCTGCCCTCAGCAGGGCCCTGCACACACGACCGCACGTGCATGAACACCTTGCCTTAGCGCAGCCTACAGCGCGCGAGCACAGGCTCAAGCAGCGCTGCCGCACGAGTGGCAAGTGCCCGAATGCTTGGTGTTGCATACTGTAACGGTGCAGACCAGAACAAGAACCGACCTCTCTAACAAAGTACAAGATAGCGTAGCGGAAGACTTAGATACCAATGATCCGAACAATCAATATTGCAATGCAGCCCCGAACATACATCATCATCATCACTCCATGGTGTGAAGGCGTCTGGCGCTCACACAGGAAGAATGCGCCAGCCCCAACCATACACAGACGAAGAAGAGGGGGGTTAGACGAAGAAGAGGGGAAGATGGGAACGTCGTCAACACCAAGTCTTCGGCACAGGCCCAAATAGTCCCTCGTCAAAATGTCTGAATCCCAATGTCGAGTCTGGATCCAATGTCGTCAAGTCTCAAGTCACAACTCTCTCTCTGTGTAGTAGTCCGCTGATACTGAGAAGTCAGGTGGTGAGAGGGGAAGAAGAGATGGTGKACTTAGAAGAGGAAGAAGAAGAACTCTCTCTCTCTCTCTCTCTCTCTCTCTCTCTCTCTCTCTCTCAGTTCGGTACTAACCTGTGAAGTTGGCGCCTTGATGCAGGTACCTCGAAGATGGAGCTGGAGCTATGGCGCCACAGGTAAATCTCACTGGCCTCCACCAGCCATCTCTCCCCAATACTAATACTACCACCTACTAGCGCCCAGCGCTGAAGACTACTGCTATGGCTACTAGCGCCCAGCACTGAAGACTACTGCTAGCGCTAAGCTCCTCCTGCAGCGCTCCTCCTGAGTGCTGCGGCCGAATCCTCAAGACTACTCCTGCCTTCTGTTCAACTACCTACCCGTGAAGTGCATGGGAATTCCCTATGTACTACTCGGCCTGCCTCCTGACTGCTGGGGGAGGCAGTCCAGGAGGCTGCTCTTGCCAATGCCGAAGGGAGTCAGGGGCTGCTGCTGCAGCTCCTGCTTGAGGCTGTCGTGGGAACAGGCTAAAGATAGCCTGTTCCCGAAACCCTTGTTTTGTGCCTGAGTGTTAGGGCAGGTCGATCTTACGAGGGCCACTTCAGGCTGAAAAGACTCAGGGCTGAAAAACCCTGTTTTAGGCTGAAAACGAAATAGGGCCTGCAGGCCCTCGTTTTCAGTTTTCAGGCTGAAACGACATGGGGCCTGTAAGCCCTTATTTCTAGGCTTTTAGGCTGAGAATGCGGGACGGGCCCTGCAGGCCCATGTGGCTACGCAGTATGCCACATTGGTCAGGCAGTGGGCACTTTCCTATATGGAAAGTGTCTGGCCTGGTGGCTGGGCTGGGCCTGTGCCCAGAAGCTTCCGGTAGACCCTGTTAGCTGGGCCGCTGCTGCTACTGCCCTGGGCCCCGTTTGGTTACACCTCCCAAATGCCTGTCATGCGTCTTGCTGAAGATGCGGCCCAGCGCCTGCTTCCAAGAAAGGCCTAGAAGGCGGAAACAAAGTGCTGCTGCCTGTGGCCTGGGTTCCCTCAACCAACTGACGGGACGGAACTGTCTGAACCCCATTTGCAAAATAGACAACAATGGGCCTCTCGTAATTTTATCAGGCCCGCCTTCACTTAGGGTGGGCACAGATTGCAATCTGGGCCCCTGAGGCCTGCCGAGGTGCCAGATCCTCGCATAAGCGGGTTGTAGGGTTCGAGAAACCCTACAACACCATTTTTTTCTCTCTTTTTTTTCAGCGGGGAAAATTCCGTGGTAATTGACCGGATGTCTGGACCGGGTTCCAGACATTCCGGAACAACATGTCCGGATCCGGTGTCCGGTCCGCGATGCCGGATGAAAACCCCCAGGGCAAAAAAAAAAAAAAAAAAAAGAAGGGGCACCCCAGGACGTTTTTCTGGTCCTGGCCGCCCCTGGAAAAATAACGGGGTGATTTTTGAGTGTTGTCTCACCCCTCCGGACAGGGCCCAGAGGCCCGTAGACGAGACACTGCAGTTTCTTGCGGTAGCGGGCTTCACACAGGCCCACAAATTTCAAAATGGCCGTTTCAAAGTGCCGCCCGCCGCTGGTGCCCGTGTTTGTGTGTGTGTGTGTGTGTGTGTGTGTGTGTGAGAGAGAGAGAGAGAGAGAGAGAGAGAGAGAGAGAGAGAGAGAGAGCACTGACAATGCTGCCAGTCTGAAGACTGACGTTCTGAATTGAACTGCAAAGTTCGAAAATTTAAGTTACATGAAGTTATGTGAAATATACCTTTCTCGGCCTTTTGGCTAAGATCAAGTGTAGTATCTGTTCTGATCAGTTTAATACCTGATCCTAAAAAACAAATGCAAGGAAGATGAGCATTAGCGAAATTCAGCAATCAAACAGCTTCATACATATGAGCCCAGATAGTATTGACCTCGAACCACAGCAGACTTGCATCACGAGATACACCAAATAAGAACACACCAAGAGTTCAAAATTGACAATGCTGAAGTAGTCCCATCATCATCAACTACGAACCAGAGTTGATATCCTATTGGCGCTCGGCGCCCAGACTACATGTGGCAGATCCTATCTAGCCTATACTACTAAGCAGAATGATGACATCAACAGCGTTCCCGAAGTAAGAGCATATGGCGACCAATGTCGCATGCTTCAGCACCAGGTATGTCTCTCGTAACACTCACAACCCCGATCCACACCGCACAGATGTCACTAGCACCCAAGGACCACCCTGCGCTTCACCTAGCATACAGCCGCGCAACTTGGCTATGGCTGCGTGCTCCCTCCTACTCGCCCGTGAGAGCGTGAGTGCCAGGCAGCCAGCGGATAGCGCAGCAGCGCTCACGCAGCATGCAGCCAGCACCTGAATGCCGAAATGAGAGGCAGGCCCTTCCCTATATCGAAGTGGCCTGCTTGCGTCCCAGGAAGCTTCCAGTAGGCCCCGGTAGCCTGAGGCCCAGTCACGAGGAAAGCAGGCCTTGGGCCTGAAGTGGTTGCCTGCGCCCAACTGCTTTCGGCCTGTGTTCGGCCTGGTACCTGAATCCAGCCCTGGGCCTGCACTTCGTACATTCACACAGGCGGCCCAGGGCCTGGGTTCACTCAACCAACTGGCGCTGCGCAACTGCCTGAATTTTCCCCAATGCGGGGTACCCTGAAAAACGAGGCCCAAAAGGGCCTGTCGTGCCTGCCTTCACTTAGGGCGGCCGACCTTGCTGCAAATAGGGCCCCGTAGGGGCAAAGCGAGCGTAGCCTCGCATTCCCTCCTCCATATCTTCGTCAGTTCTCTGGGAAGATCAATCTTGAGCCATCTGGCACTTTCCTTTCAATACATCCTTCTCATAGCGGGCAACGATTTGAGGAGCGGTCTGCATCAATTCCTCCCGAGTAAACCAGCGGTCCTCTTTCGGATCCGTGTGATGTCTGAAGTGGACACGAAACTGCAGTTTTGGCTTTGGAGGACGTCCCCTTCCTGGAGGCTTCTGAACGGGCATCTCCCTGTGGTCGACGATATCATTGATGTCGACTTCTCCGTCCATGGTTGGGGGCAGCGAGCTTAGAGGTGTGAAAGACAGGGTGAGTTTGGAGATGACCAGGGATACAAATGACATATGACGGACCATCAGGATCTGTCCCTACTACGTCTAGAACTTCCCAAGGCCCAAAGTACTGAGGCATGAGTTTGCGGGATATCCCGAACTCCTGTCCCAGTTCTGAAGACTTGACCCAGACTCTGTCCCGAACCTGAAATGTAGAAGGGCGGCGGTGAGTATTCTCATACTCTATCGTTGCTGCCTGTGCCTTCTGCATGTGTTCTACAGCCTCCTGCATCTTTTGTTCATATCTATAGGCGAACTCCAAAGTGCCCGGTGTAGAAGTTGGCTGGTTGTCTGGAAGTAGGAAGTCTAAGGGCAGTCTACGCTTGAATGTCAGTTGTAGACTGTTAGGGCTCGTCCCGGTAGCACTGTGTACAGCGTTGTTATATAGACTGGCGACTAGAGCAAGCTTTTCGTCCCAGTCTACCTGATTGGGCTTGATGTAGTGCCTCAACAGGTGTTGCACAGCGCGGTTCATTTGTTCAGCCTGGCCATTAGCTTCTGGATGATTTCTAGAAGTCATCTGCAGTTGAGTTCCTGGTTCAGCTGCAGAGGCCTTCCACAATTCACTCGTGAACCTGACGTCCCTGTCACTGACTATTGACTTTGGCAGTCCAAAGTCTTTGACCCAGTTCTCTTTAAATAACCTGATCTCGTACGTGGTCTTCGCTGTTTCTGGCATAGCTATTAATCTAGCAAACTTACTAAACCTATCCACGATGACAAAGATCTGTCTCATCCCACTCTTGCTGGTGACCAGCGTATCCATGAAGTCCATGGACAAACTTTCACCTGGCCTTTCCGGAATCGGAAGGGGTTTGAGCAGCCCAAGAGGAGCCTGAGTACGGGGTTTGTCTCTTTGGCATACTTGACAAGTTTCCACGTACAGCTGTGCATCTTTCATCATTGTGGGCCACCAGAACCGCTGCAGCAAGTTGGCTGCGGTCTTCTTGTAACCAAAATGGCCGGTGGCATCATGACACTCACCTAAAAACAAACTACGCAAAGACTCGCTATTTGGAACACACAAGCGTTTATTCCCTGCCTTCTCTAGGAACAGCAATCCATTGACCAACTCAAACTCGGCGGAGGTCTTTTTATCCTTCGCCTCAAGTCTGCGTATGATCTCAGACATAAACTGGTCCTGACGATAGTCTTCCACCAAAGAACGAGTAACATCGTCCGTCAGATCGAACTCAGTAATCAGCGCACCTGAGAAGTCTGGTCTGCGCGACAAGGCATCAACAACCTTGTTGTATTCCCCTTTGAGATACTGAGGGTCAAAGTCATATTGCTCAATGACTTCGATCCAACGCTTGAGAGCATCTGAGAGTACCGGTTGTGTTCTCATCCATCTCAGAGTCTGATGATCAGTCCGGAGGATGAAAAACCGCCCAAGGAGATAGTGTCTCCAGTGGGTGAGAGCCTTGTACACCGCATAGAGTTCCTTCTCATAAGTGGACTTAGCCAACTTCTGAGACGACATTTTCTTGGACATGTAGTCTACTGGCCTCAACTTTGGCCCCTCCTGCTGCGCAAGCACGGCGCCAATGCCATATTGGCCGGCATCCGTTGTGACTATAAACGGCTTGTCAGGATCAGGAAGTTTCAAGACTTTATAGTGCGTCAGTGCATGCTTCAGATGTCTGAAAGCAGCCTCGCACTTATCTGTCCACTCCCAAGGGGTGTCAAGGCGGGTCAGATCAGTCAAAGGAGCGGCCACTATGCTGTAGTTCTTAACGAAAGTCCTATAGTAGCCTGTCATTCCTAAGAAAGATCTCATCTCAGTCACAGACTGAGGACGTGGCCAATCACGAATGCTGGCCACCTTTGCGTCATCGGGCTTCAATCCCTCCGCGAAAATCTCATGACCCAAGTACAAGACACGGGTGCGGCCAAACTCCAACTTCTCCCCGTTGATCTTGAACTTGTGTTGTCGCAGGAGGCCGAGGACTTTGTCCAAATGTGCCACATGTTCCTCGACAGCCTTACTGAAAATAAGTATGTCATCGAGGTACAAAATGACAAACTTATCCAAGTAGTCATGGAATATCCGATTCATAGCGTGCTGAAAGGTGCCAGGAACATTGCAAAGGCCAAAAGGCATCACCACAAACTCGTAGAGACCGTACCTGGTATGAAAAGCGGTTTTGTGTTGATCCTCGGGCCGTATGGCAATCTGATGGTACTCGGACTTCAGATCTATCTTGCTGAAGTACTGACACCCTTGCACTCTATCTAGCAGATCGTCGATGCACGGTAGGGGCTCTCTGTTCTTGACAGTGATGGCATTGAGGCCCTTATAGTCAATGCACATCTTAAGGGTTCCCTCATTCTTAGGCACGAATAAAACTGGAGACCCATAAGGAGAGACACTCGGCCGGATCCAGCCCTTCTCTACGAGTTCCTTGAGTTGGCGGCGAAGCTCATCAAGCTCGCCTGGAGACATCCGATAGATCGTACCCCTTGAAATACTAGACCCTGGGACAATCTGTATCGCGTGGACAACCTCTGTCGGCTCTTCCAATAGATCAGGGTACTTAGCAACTACTCCCTCTATCTTTGGCGGCATTTTCACCGGCTCGCCTGCAGCAGAGACATAGACTAAGTACATACCCTCCTCCTGATTTTGCTTATAATAATTATAGAACGCGGCTGCACACATGCACCCATAGGACTCAATCAGACTACTAGCTTTGAACTTATGTAATCTGGCGGTCCCTCCACCTGGCAACGTGTGTTTGACCACTTTTCGGTTACAATCAAACTGGGGCTGTGCTACAGAGAGGTAGTACATACCTAGTAACATGTCCATTGGGAGCTCGTCACGCACCAGGAACGAGACACGATGTCTCAAGTCCCCTCCCCCGTACGGGAAAACACACTCTACATCATGGAGGTAGTCATTAACTAACATGCACTGTTTGTTGGCACAAGTCGACTCCACAGGTCGACTCAGGCGCTTCACTTGCCCCTGTAAGCGCAGCCTCTCAACGCACGCGCGACTAATAAAGTTCCTAGTTGAGCAAGTGTCGTAATAG